TAAGTAGTATTTGCTTAACATTTTGATATGAATTATTTCATATGTTTACGTCAGTATGAAGACTAATCACATGGGGAAAATTTTACCTGGAATGCTATACATGAAACGACTGATAGTTCAGTGTTGACTGACGAAAATCACTTATCCAATTTTGTCTATCCCCAACAGAGTTAAAAATAATAAATATTGTTTGGAAGGGGCATATATTTCAGTGTACAAGTCATATGAATATTCCAGTATATCATTTCATTATGTGCAGTATATGTAAGCTACTTGGTTTATTCTCTGAAGAACTGGCTTACACTGAGTCATGACACGTCAGAAAATCTAATTTTCATACTGATTAAGATATTACAAATGTATTATTTCACTTATATAAATCATGTTATATAATCCTGTTGATCAGTAATAAGTAATTATTACCATTACTGTCTTTTTTGTTGTTAACTGGAATACATAAAATGAAAAGATTTAAAAGTATCAAGTAACTGAGTTTTCTTGAAAGAAATTAAATAAAGTCTGTAAACATAACTGAGATTTCCAATTCTTTAATTATTTCTCTTGACATTTGAAATAATCAATTGAGTTGTTATAAACGATATCTAATTTAAAGTTTCTATTCACCATAACAACAAGAAATATCCACATAGTTTTTTTTGTTGTTTCACATTCATTTATATCTCCCCTTTTTGATTAGAAATAATCTTATGCTATTCACACGACTGAGTGTAATCAAACTTATTTACTTTCTATGTTAAAGATTGGCAGCTTTTTCTTTTGTTTTAATATTTTTTTTATAATAATATAATACTGCACTTTAACGATTTATAGTGTTAAAACACTTTTTTCTACAAAAGTGAACAAATTACAATTTTATCTTTCATAGATACAAAACAAAAAAGAAAAAAAAACAATGAAAATTAACAAAATAAAGACAAATGACTTAGTTCAGATTGTACACAATAATTAACCAATATTTGGCGCTTATATATTTAAATACATACATAAAACAAAAAAGTATATTTGTCTACATCTTATTTATTTGGCAGTAATATAATAAAAATTAATGAATAAAATAATTAATTAGTTGATTTTATTCAAGATATTGATTTATGAACTTGTAAAGTCTATTAGAATTGTTAATGATTTCATTGTTTCAGTAAATTCTAAATAGAACACCATTGGATAGTTTCAATACTATTCATTGTTTGTTATTTAAACAATCTTGTAGTGATTAGAGCACGAGTAGGAACAATCGAATGTACTGAACACAAAATTACAGGACTTGTTAATAAAATCTAACAATCATAAAGTAAATGCTTAATTTAAAAATTGTCTCAAAATGACCCAAACTTCATTGTTCTTGCATTTTCATACAAACTACATCTTGTTCCATTCTTTACTGTTTGATTCTCTTGTCTCTCTGCTGCCAGACCTTCTTTTCACGACTAACATCATATACTACTTATGTTAATATAAGTAGCACACACCACAATCTTATATTACAGAAAGTAATTTGTTAAACTACTGTTTCCTTAACAGTACGAAGAAAGTATAGTGTTATTTGTGAAGCACGATCGAAATAGTACAATACATTTACTTTTTGTTTCAAAATTGAATACACTTCTACGTTTGTTTTTATTTCCAACTGAAGATGTATGTTTACGTTGATCACTTTCGAAAGCGTATTCCCTTCATAGCTATTGACATAGGATTACGAAAGTTATACATTATGTCTAATATACTTTTTTTATTTATGCAGCAAGAGCACAATAAAATTTCTGCTCGTTTTATCAAAATTATTTGTAAAATCATAAATATTTTGATGATTTATAAGTTTGTTCTATTAATGGCTTGTGTCGAAATAGGTTTCTTACAGTTTTAATTGAAAAATCGGTAACCTCCAAAGTCAATCAATTCGAAAGTGAAGGGATACTTTATTGATGATGCTGATTAAATGAGGGATGGCTTTGTAGATCCATTCATGTAGAATGTATGTTTGATCATGCTCACCACAATGTAGATGCTATTTCTTATAAAGATATATGCCAGATGTATGAAAGTTAAATAATGTATTCGATACACATAAGTATTTAATGCTTGTTTATATGTAAGCTATTTACTGTAATTTACTTCCGTTTGTACTTGAATACAATATGTTTCAGAATTATATCATTTGTTTATCATAGAAATACTTCCTGCCGATCTGTTTCATGTCAGAAATGTTTAGTTTGTGAATACATTTTTTATTAATTAGAACAGTTTCAGAAATTAACACAACGCCATTAAAGTTTCAATGCATTTTAAATCAAAAGATGGGATGTTGACAAATTGTTTGCAAAGACATAGATAAGTTTTATGACAATCATAAAACTTTCACTTTTTCAAACAAATTCTAATAAATAATCATTTACAACATTTTTTAGATAAGGAAAACTCGAATCATTATATTATTAAGCAAGAATAGCCACTCAGATATACTACTATATCGAAAATTTACTAATAAATCTCACCTTCAGTTGGATATATCTTGGACTTTAAACTTTAAAACAGGACAGGAAGTAAACGTTCATTACTGAGTTACTTCAAAAATAGAGAGGCTACAAGTAGAACCTTTGTCAGAACAAAGTGAAATTGTGGGGAAAAACATATGTACAATACCGTACCATTCATCTATACAACTTATTATTTCTGTATTTTATGAAACATTCTACAGAAAGATATTCTTCCCAAATACAATTCCAACAAATTGTTTATTTGTTCGCCAAAATATAAAATTTAAAACAATTAGTTCCTTTGATAAATTTCGATAATGCAATGAGAAGACGTACTTTATCAGAATTATGTGATATATTTGCGCAATACATTTCGAACTATCTGATCACACAGATACTTGTTAAGAACATTTATATATGAAAATCAAAAGGTCAATTAGACAGATTAAGGGTAAGTCATAACAAAGGAAAAATAATAAAGTACACAAAAGCCATGTGATTACCACTCTGGATAATAAATCAGTACTACTAGGGTAGGTTAAGTGTAAGGACAAATTGTTTTTGGACGCACAAAGGAGGTTTCCATTTCCGTATACCCAAGGCTTCAATACACCTTAGTATACGTCCTTTAAAACTTTTGTGTAACACTACACATGCTGACTTGATGTCAACCTAATGACCAGTCTCAACCAAATGTTTCTCAATGGAGGATTGTGTCTGTCTATCCAAATTGTCCGAAATGTATTGCGCAATTATATCACAGAATTCTGAAAAACTTCTCATTGTATTAACAAAATATAATTTAAATCCATGTAAAAAAATATAATTTAACTCAGAGTTCTTATTTCTGTCCCTATGATATTTGTCAATAAAATCATTTTGATAATGATCATCAAGTACTTTAACATAACATATTCATGATCATTCGTAGCATGTTATTTTTTTATAACTTCACTTGGTTCGAGTAAGTATTATTTTTGTTTGGAAAGCATTAATCTCAAACAACATCAAGAAATGAAGGATCTGATGATCTATCTTCATATCGATTTGTGAGTTAATGATTAAATTAAGTAATCTGTACATTCTAGATCACTTCCGACAATAAATATTTTCATAGGTCAACTAATAAATTTTACAATCATCATTTATCATCAAGATATTTCACTTAATGTGTAAACCTTTTTTATGATTAAAAATGAAAAGAAATACATTGATGATTCTATCTATAAATATATTTTATGAATTTTTTGTTTTTCGAATAAAATACAATAGAAATAGAAGTGCTACAATATAATTGCTAGCTGATTATAATACATCAACACAAATTAATCAACATAGAAATAATAATTCAACACAAACCAATTTCATACCGATATTAACTATTCATACAGACACATTGACTGTTCAATAAAATCTTGTATAAATCAGATTAAATATGACCAGTTTTCAATATTTTTAGTTAAATGGAGAGTATTTAGAAATGTTATTATCTTCTCTTTTTTTCATAGTTGCTAACTGTCCCAAAAACATTCTCTCCAAATTATATCTAAGTACTCATTATTATGATTATTATATTTTTAAAAATTTATTTTCGTTTTGCATAACAACTACTGTGTTCTTCACATTCTATTGTTGTATTTTAAATGAGTAAAATGTAATTTACTCATTTCACAAATAGTGAAAATTTAAACAATCATGAATTGAAATTTAAAGTGGGAAACAAAGAAAAGAAAATTAAATCATTAACAATAGAAAACGACGTTAATTAGAAGAAAACAAAACGATTTTCTTTTAAAAAAAAGTTTACCTACAACTATAATAATAAAATAACCGAAAACATTTAAACTATACTAAATAAAGCTCGTCATTATTATTATTATTATCTTCTAATTACTTTTAATTACTTTATTTATTGAATGAATACAACTAGTAAAATGGATAGGTAATACCGGTTAACTATCAATACGATACAATACTGAACAGATCTTTTACAATATTACTTTTAAACCAATCATAATATAGATTGAATAATATGATAAATCAGTATATATTCAAGATATAAATTTATATAGAATAAATTTACTGAATAAGATGATAATGAAAAAACATATGGATTTCAATGAAAAAAAAAAGAAAACAAGAACCTTCTAGAAATTAGGAGTTTGAGTGTATTGTCATTAAAGGTAGTAATAATAATAATAGTGAGAGAAAAAGAATAATGAATAAGACACATTTGTATATCAATCAACACAGATCAATAAGAGAATACTTTAACTATAAAATAATGTTTAACAAATTTTATTTTGAAATATTCAAAAAGAAAATAAAGTGGAGTGGAGTAATTAATGAATAAGGAAAATACACTTAATTTTTTTTTATGATGTCAGTTGTATCAGTCATGGTTAAAACGTCACGAATCATCCAATGTATATGTATATCGTATTTGTATTCATTTTTGCTAGGAGACATATATGTATTGTAAATACCCTGGCTAAATAAATTATATTATTCATCCGATTGAAGTTCTGCATTTAAAAGCATGAAATCTCCATTGATTCGAATATGTGATAAGAATTGAAGAGGATAATACTGTTCAAAATTGTACATCATTGATTCGTCACTATTAAGAAGTACCTAGCAGTAAAGATAGTAATATAAATAAAGTTTATAGTGTTGATTTTAGAAAAATTAAGTCAAGTTAATAGAATCGATAATGTCAATCAGTATAACTAAAAATAGGACGTTGATTCATTTTTCAATAGGAAATCTCCTGACTGTTTTAGCTTATGGAACAAATAGAAATTTCTATGAACGAAAAGTAGGACTCAATAACAAAGTCTAATTTCTTGTCAATACACATGAAAAAGTTCAGTAAAGCTTTAAATGTCTCTCAGGTTTTAACTGAAAAGGTATGTACTATAATGAAAAAAATTAATTTCTTCAGAAAGATCTGACATGTAGAGTAAATTTTCAGTTTCTGTTATTAAAGTAGAAAATTTGATTTCCATAAATGGTAGAAATGAAATTTATTCAAGATAAAAGCCGTGCAATATTACTAATAGTGTGGTGTATGGTACTTATGTCTACGAACAAATTGATTGTCCCCACCCGAGTATTCATTCACATTATTAATAGTAATAATGTGCAACCTAAATTATTAATGATGACAGTATGATTCAGTTCAGGTACATTTCTTTCGAAATATGGAAAGTCTAACTACAGTAATTCATGATTCAATCAACATGATTTGTTCATAAATACATCTTCTAAAAACGAATAATGATATACTAAAACTATATCAAGATTCTGCTTTGATAATCTTTTAGAGTAGGAATAAAAACACATACTGTACTAACAAAAGAGTAATTTTAGACATTTTATGCTACAAATATCAATTAATTAGATATACATATACTAGTGTTTAAAATCTAAGTACTACATCTAAGATTTCCGTTCTCAAGTCTGTTTCTGGGGGAAAAATAAGGATTTTCAGTTGATAACTTTTGAAAATGTAGGTATCACAAACTCATCAATTATTGAACTCATAAACATGAAGTTAACTTTAATAGAAAAAGTTTGGATTTTGTGATGAAACACTTTGAACGTTCGAAGTTATAACTTTAATCTCAACCATTGTTGTTATAATGATTTTTTAATTACAATCAAAGGTGATAACCAAAATATCAATTAAATAGAAATTGAAATTGGTGAAGTCACTTACCTTTAGTGTGTTATTGTACCAACTGAATTTCATTTTACATATCTGTTCAGGAATATATGTTATCTCTTTTTCAGCATATTGAACATTATTTGTTTCTTTTGCGATCTCTTGTATTATTAAGTTACTTGTCTCAAAATTCAATAGGATTTGCATTGAGACAAATTCAAAGCTACTGATAGGTTTATAAACATATTCGATGATAACTCTGTAAAAATAAACATCAGTAAGACATATACAGTATGAAATTAATTATAGATAAACTAATAATTAGTCTGTAGAAGTCTCAATTTTGCTAAAAAAAAACAGTGACCTTTCAAATAACTCAAATGTCGACAGCTCCGAATGAACAGGTGGTTATAAGATTGTAGATAAACTTTATTGAAAAGTGTTGTCTTACGAGAAACGTCCTGGGCTCGACACCCTGTGGTGTTGTGGATCTGGACTTCCAAGAAGTCCCATACTAGAATAAAATAGTTGTTCAAGGCTTCCTGCTTTTCAGTGGCTGTCTAACTAAGATCAGTACGTGATAGAAACTGTGAAAATTGATAATTATAAGTAAACATATTATATGCATAACTGTGTCATTTAGGCTTTTCATGTTACTGTTGCAGTGGTTTAATGAGTCAGGTTAGTGATTAGTACAAGTAAACAACGAAGCACTAGAAACCCATTAAACAACAAAGTTTAGTTCAACAAGTTATCAACACAGAGAAAATAATTTTAAGATAGAATTTAAATAACAAAACTAAGCCTAAGTAACGAAGTTATTTTTGTGATTTAAACAACTTCATTCAACTCGAAAATGCTTATTTTTAAACCGGAGTTAGTAAAAAGACTAAAAGCGGGAAAGTGGCTGTCAGAAAAACTGTAAACAGACTCGCATATAGCAATAAGAGCAGACATCAGGACTTTATGTGAAGTTAATTATTGATTCATATGGTGTATCAGTTTACTTCAACGTTGGCTATACGGTCTATTGTAGAAGTTACATACCAAAATATCACCTAGCTTTACTTTGATTGTCTTTACTAATCTAACGTAAGACATAAAGGACTATGATTAAGTGAATTTAATTAGGAACATAACATTTTGCGTATTTCATCTAAAATTACTATTATTGTCAATTATAGAGATTACTGACAAAATTTTGCCACACATACAACACATAATGTCAAAGTGAATTTGTCGTAGACTTTATAACTAAACTATAGAAAACATTCTAAACTGTAATATAATGTGTATTGATAACAGTATGGCAGAAAGATTGATAACATTATGGCAGAAAGAATGAGGACATTTACTATTTTTGTTTAGTATCTTCAGATCCTGGAATGAGTAGTCTATTCACACTACTTACTTGATATGCCAGCATTTGATTAAATAAGTTGGTACATCATTAAAATTTGGATCTACAGAAATTCATATTCTATTCTTTCATATTAAAAATGTCACACTTCTCAATAACACACACAAATACATAAGTATGTCATTTAAATCACTGTGACCACATTGACTTGATCAAATCTGCTTTTTTATTGGTTGTACTAAATGGATGAGCACTGCTGAGGAGTCCTCTACTGAGACGAAATGGCCTTCAAGTGCTTCCAGGTGGTCTAACATTGATCCATTTGTGATTTCAATCAAAACTAAATAATCTCAGCAACCCTATACTGATAACTACATATTTTCGTTTTGTTCCTTTGTACTATGTAAACTTGGGTTTATTCTCCGAAGAAGTTCTGACAATGAGTCATGAAACACCACAAATTTTAATTTTCCTACTGGTCGAGATATTACAAATATATTATTTGTATTAGTAACAGTCTACTCAGTGCTCAGGTCGTCTGAAAATATAAAGTCAAACTTTGGTAATGACAATTGCACACGCATAAATGATTAAATAACTGAAAGTTCTAGTTCTAATACAGTAAACATCTGATAGATATCTCTTTATCCTGATGCTTTTAATGTAAAAATAAGTTCTGTATACAGAAGTCATGTTGCGCACCTTTGATCCTGAAGTTCACTAAAATGCAAGGTAAAGCTGATGTTTATGTTATTAGTTTGAAGAAATTAAAAAGTTATGCTTCGTGAGTTGCAATTACTTGAAAGTATAATTCACGCGTTTTTAGTACTGTAAATAAAAGTTATGGTTTTGAAGTGAAAAATGTACTTGTATTATTTTCTGCATCTGTCAGAGGCGTACCATGTTACAGTTGAACATACTAAACGTCGAAAGTGAAGATTATACAATTTCAAATGTCAGAAGAAGATCGCATATCAATTAAGAAATTAGAAAAATAAAATAAAATGAAACGAAACGTGTAAAAGATAATAGTCTACTTATTAATTATAAGAAAGGTGAATAATAAAGGTGATAATAATGACAATAATTAGGTATGATTCAGCATATTATATACATTCTGTCTTAAATAGAGAAAAACCCAATAGGTATATGACGTTTTGTGCACATCGTTATCTTATTCTCTCTGATAAGATTCAATTTACATATTGAATTTGCACAGTTGGAATAAGATCTTGTTAGCAGCAAAATTTGGAACTTTGATGCTTAAGCACTAATTAAACTTAAATCCTAGCCTCAGCATTGATCATCTTCTTGAATAAACATGCAAGTCAATGATAATAAATCAACATCACTTCCTCACTAATCAGTAAAAGAACGTTTTGCGTTTTAATTGTAAATTTAACTTTGAACAATAGAATGATCTGAACATGTTTATGCAGTTTGATATACACATGAAACAAGCTTATTTTATAGATTCACTAAAGTTCATTTTAAAATGTTTACTAATGAAGGTAATTAGTTCTTTTTCATAAACCATATCTTATATGATTTTAGTTAAACCATTGTGTTTCTTTATTTACACAGTAAATATAAGAATATTTGTAATCAGAATAAATATGATCAAATTAATATTATTTAACTTATTCGTATGTGCGTAAACTAGAGTGATAAATTTCTGTAATGTGTCACTTGTGTAATAGCTATTGTGTTTCAGTGCACTGATATTGGCATAAATATCATCACTTTACTATGGATACATGCACATGTGAATAGTCAAACAAAAGCTACTTTTATCACATGCAAAAACAGATATACACAAAAGTATGCTTACATTGTAAAAAGTTATTCCATTTAGCATAAATAAATGAAAACAAGCTAAGCATCACCAATTAACAATACTTAAATGAAATGACAGACTAAGTAATCACTGAGTTACGTAGATTTATTGATTAAGATGTAAATGAAATCAAATACAAATAATTTTATTCACTAGAGTGCTGTTAGAGGTATGCCTGAACACTGATTACCACGACGCACAATGCTGACCAGTGTTAGGGATGGCTGGAAGGGAATTCGGAGTGGCCAAACCAAAAACGTGGCATCGGCCTATAAAGTCACTAACTTCTGGTCTGAGCCATGTTGGTAGATGCTGACTACTTGGTTGGGGTCCATGTGACTATTGCAACCAACGGTTGGAGATTCTGGGTGACATGGCTCAGAAACGATCACGACGGCGTAGGTGTATACACTATTTGTCTTCCCTTAAACCATGAGATTAAAATTGCTTTATAACTTTCTTTCTACGAACTAATTCTTTCTTTCTGTATCATATCCCTATATAAAATCTTTCTTTATATATTACCATCACTGAATTAACTACTTCTATGAATTTGGTGTTCATCTTGTTGTACCAATGAGGTATGGCGACTTGGATCGATGCATATATGTGCCTGGTCCTACGTTGTAGCTGACTGACTGACTGATTCACTCTAGTTGGCATCACTAAACATCAGATGGACAAAACTAAATCTTAGATCGGATGATGGTGTTAAAGCTAGATATTTTGTAAGCAGAACTTCTAATGTTGCCATGGTAATGTCTATATATATATATTTCAAAACGAAATATAATCTTTCATTTAGCACTCTTTTTTCCCTAAAAGTTTATTAATTCAGTGATACTTCGAATTAATGAGAGTTGAGGTAAAATAACTCACCACTCATTAAAATGAAAGCTACTCTTGTTTCTCCAAAATATAGTCTTAAAGGTGTGAAGTTGATCATCTATGCACTTTTAAATGGAATAATTTCGAAAATGTAAACTAAATAAAACTGTTTGCTGAACATCAACCGGAATTTTCGAAGAAAAGTTTAGATTAAAAGAAATTAAGAGACAAACTAGAACAGTGCACATAGGAGAACGAGATTGTTGTTACTGGGATTTTTATCAAATCTGCTACTCTAATACACAGTAATATTTATATTCATGGATAAAAAATACTACACTAATCAAGGAATTCCAAGTTAAAGATAATGATGAAATACATTCCATAACTTATTATGATGAGCAATAAATCGAATTTAATAGTAAGATAAAAGATTTTTCACCAATCATGGGAAGAAGGTCGAAATACTGTTTAGGATATGAGATCTCAAATTAAAACTTTTGAGAATCAAATCAATATCCATTAGGTTGAAATTATATATAATATTAAATTATTCAGGGTTAACACTAGTAGAGCAATTTCAGTACAATTTTACTGCATTATACGTTTATAGCAAATACTCAGTCTAATCATTTGTTATTAAGTTACGGTTTGCCCAAAAAATTTAATTCTTATAAGTGTGAAATTGTATATTCATATACTCTTGTTCCTCCTACCCTTAGATCAAAAGGTGACGTAGTTCTCATCGTCCAATGTAGAGTCTACTTACAGATGGATAAAAACTATCAACTTCAAAGGAGTAGCATTTCACTAATTTAATTATCGCGGTCATGTCACGGTTTTTCTTGTGATTTCTCACATTTGTTATTTTATTTAGTTTTCTGTGTATTTTGTTTTTTTGGTAAACCATTTATTGGGAAAACAATCTCACTTTTGACACACAGTGCATTCCGGTATACAGTTTTTCAGACTTCGTTTTTGATATATGAACGGCAATATTTTTTCAGATAAACAACACTGGGTGAATATCAAAAGGCTTCGTCGGCAAAAAATATGGGGCTTATACACTGGTTAGTAAGGCAGTGAAAATAAGATAGCTTTGTTTACTTTATAGAAGTACAGAGCACAATTGTATCTAATACACTTATTGTAATAGCGTCGACTACTTGATGTGTGAACACTGATATTTCGAACGTCTTATGGGCGCAAAAACAAGGGTTTTTAGCTTTGATTCCCATGCCTACAGTTACACGCAAAAACGAGATCTAATTCAGTTAGTAGAACTTGAAAAAATAAGATGCGCCGTTTTGAACTTTGTAAATGTTTACATTGCACAAACACTATCGACAAAGTGTAATAGATCCAAGTGGAGTAAGTATTTTCTATGACCATGTTAAAGTCGCGCGAGCAGATACTCGCTAATCTAATAATAAGTATGTTCTTTAGATGGGCACTAACCATTGATCGACTAGAAAACAACTAATGACGATTTAATTAAAAAAAATAATATTCTTCTCTTACATCTTTCGTTTGAATTTACTCGATGAGAATTAAAGTTCAGCAATATATTAATTTATTTCAAGAGTAAATCTCTAAACAACACATTAAATATATATCACTTATTTAGTGTATTGATAATGTTAGCTTTATCCTTTTCAATAAATACAATTTTTACAAAGTCTATTGTTGTGCCTAAATCATCTTATACATAAATTACTATATATCTAACCATCGATATAATAGATATATCTGATTTTAATGAATTTGTTCAAACCCTAGTTTGTTTTTCTAAAATGGCATTCAAACAGAAGTTAGGCACTTTTTTTCATATCGTATAACATAAATTTAAAATATGACTACTAAAAATGGAAAATTTCGATCGTTAAAACGTCATGTATTACAGATATCAATTAACGATAGGCCAAGTAAAACATTTATACTAGAAACACCTTAAATAAATTTATTTTAAAAGTTAAACAAGTATATTTATAACCATAACTATTTCTAAACAAAGATGGATATTGACCAGCAGTGGAATCCAGAAAGCAAGCTTCGTCTTATTTGGGACTCGTTAGCTGGATGTACCTGCATCTCAGATTTGATGTTCACTCTGAGACTTGAAGCCAGTACCATTCGCTTCAAACGTCATCGCGTTATCCACTTAGCTAGTAAGTACTGATAGCCACTTGCTTGTGCAATTAGGTGAAGTTTAAATTCACTTGGTATTGTTTACTTGAATCCTCTCATTGATGTTTAGGACTGCAATTGATCAGTCGTTATTGAAATATGTGTATACTATGCGTACTGCCTCGGTATTGCCTTAATTCACAGAATAAACATGAACCCTGAGATGCAGGTACATCCAGCTGACGCGTCCCAGATAGAACGAAACGCGCGTCCTGGATTCACTGCTACCACTATCCATTTTGCTTATCATGCTTGTGAATTAAGGCAATGTACATAGTGAGCGCATATACCAATAATAGACTGATAAATTGCAGTCCTAAACATCAATGGGAAGATTCAAGTAAACAATACGAAGTGAATTCATAACTAGTTCTGTTATAATGTGATTGAAACGAAATACTACAAATACATAATCTAATCAACTTTATTGGTAATTAGATGAAAGCATACTATCACTTATAATAAAATATCAACTCCTAGTTCATATCTCCATTTTTCCACTACTTCAATTAAATCACCGAATTATTCATTGTGATGAAGACCAGGTTCATCTATTGTCACTCTTCTTTAATCTTTTTGTACTACGTCAAGTTACTGACAATGCACTTGATAATGTGAACGCCATTAGTCTGCATGCAAATATATATAACTAAACATTTTCTTACAATTAGAAATTAATATGTAACTATAATTATAAACATTTAAAATATCTAAAAGACTTACCTTTTGGTATCAGCAGTTAGTTTTGTTAAAAGATTTAATGTGTTTGTTTGACGGGATTCATCTTTCATATGAAGAATAAGTGGTAAACACTATATGGGAATAAAAAAGAAAGAAAATATTGATAAAAAGTGTCTTAATAAAAACCATCCATTTCACAGAACTTAAAATGAGTTTGCAACTTGTAGGAAGTGATTCATAACCGTATTTTAATTTTTACTCTTAACAATGTTCATTCCTTGTAGGAATGAAAGTTTACCATGAATTTATTTAAACACATCAATATGTGATAGAACATTGCTTTGCTAGTGGGTTCAAATGTGATCTAGAAAGTTCTATAATGTTGCCATAACATTCATAATTACAGTCGATTGACATATTAGTAGCTGACATAAAAGTTAACTTATAACCGTGCTTTACTTAGGACCAGTTTATTCATGTTAGAATACGTCAATTCAAGTTTATAATGTATAGATGTGTCTACATAAAACATGTTAACGACCTCATGATATAAATAAACTTAATTCAAAGTATTTGACTTGTCTCATCAATATTCTTACCACTTGAACAGTTTAAAAACACTAAATTTAAGAAATATAGTGCACTCATATTGTTAAATCATAAATATTCCAAACGACATTTAAGTTCAGATATATTCTATCCTATATATTAAACAATTTTACCATTCTTTAACATTTATGACATTTATTGCTAATAATCTAACTATACATAATAGCTAAATAGTGAAAATCTACTTAAATTCATTCACAATAGTAAGTGTTTTCTTCTTAATTAGAAATCTTTAAAGAGAAATCGTATACTTTTATTTCTTACATAGTAATAGATATCGATAGTTTAACACTTAAATAAACCCTACTATTTGGTTAAATGAATTAATTCTAGTTAATTTATGCATTCATATTTAATGGTGAACAATGAATTAGAAAGGTGTATTAAATCAGTGCACATAAAATTAAAAACACATAATGATTATTATGTAAATTGGATAACATTGACCTTGGAAAAAAAGTAGTAGATCTATTTCTAGGGGTATTAGAATTGATGAAATTTATAAAATATAAACTTTGTAAATATTTATCATGAGGATTTAATGATATAGTGATCTGTTCTTTAATGAGTTTTTTATATATTTTTTTCTTTCATCTAAATAAGTTCTGACTGGGTTCATTGAACATATTCTCTTGAATGTCAGCGACATTATTATAGCCGATTAATTTTCCTCCTCCTCCTCCTCCTCCTCCTACTACTACTACTACTACTACTACTACTACCATTACTATTACCATTACTAATACTAATACTAATACTTTGATCTTGTTGAATGACCCTGCTCTCAGCATACAATACTGAAATTAAAATGAAGATAACTTTTTAAGTAGTAATAATATAGCAATATCAAAGCAAAATACCAGTTTGTAATGTTCCTAAATACTGAATAGAAGATTATTTACAGAAATTTGTTCTTATCAATTTGTTACATAACTTATTTCAAGGCGAAATTCTTGTCTCCCTATATTTAGTATTTTTCTTTTCCAGTTCATTATCATTTATGAAATATATTATTACGTCATTTTCCTATTCATTTACAAAATTACTTCATATTCATCTAAACCAATGCATTACTTCTAGATGATCAATTCGAATTATTATCAAACTCGAATATTGTTTTTTAATCTTTACTAAGGATATTGACATAATAATATTATTAGGATAGAAAAGAACATTGTAATAAACGCCTCTTGATCTTCGAATAAGCAGCTTATGTAAAATCCCACATAAATTTTCAAATGTATATATTCCCTCAATTTTTATCCATCTGTTGATTGAACAAGATTATCAATCAAGTTTTCATAATTATTATGCTCATACTAATAACTAAAAATGGGAAAAGTTACTATAATTGATACAAATCAAATTTTTGTTATAACTAAATCATGATTATGAATAGATGTGACAGCTAACGGTTAACTAATGTGAAAATAAATTTTAGGCAGAGTTCTGTTGTTTCTAAGTATCAACGATCTTTTATAGTTTCCTAGTCCATATTAATTTATTTACAGTCGTATTCGCTCTATTCTATCTTATACAGAAAGTGTGGTAGTAGCGTGTTAACTTTTAAAGGGAACTCTCGACTGTAGCTCAATCATTCAGTTATTTACTACTGGCTCAGTTTCAGGCTTTAGGATATTGGTTTTATCATATATTTACAGTAGGATTGTATAAAGCCTAATTTGATATAAACTCCAATAAATTATCTCAAAATTGTATTATGACAAAAAAGGCATAATATAAATGGTGAAAAAAGCCATAATTGCGATGAGAACAGATAAGCGTTGAGATAGGATGTCTGTGAAAATTACCCAATTTAAAGTTTTTATCAATATGGGCGATGACCAGTAGATTATTGAAGATTAAGTACGTCTGAATGTACATCTTTCCCTAGTTCAATAATGACGAGTACATCATCCTACGTATGTTCCGATTCAGTACGATTACGTCTGATATATAATACGATATCTTTAAACCACTGAGTCTCAGTTTAATGATCCACAAACAGCCAACATCAATTTCGAAATAATTTATAGAATGAAACTATGGATTATTAACAAACACAAAGATTTATACACAAGCTCCTTTTACCGAATTTGGTTAATGAAATTACTACATTCAAAGCAAAAAACAGTTCTTTATATCTAATTCTAAGAATATGAATCTGATATCATTGCGATCGTAAACTCAAGAGTTTTTGAGCGTGTTAATATGTAAACTCCAAACAAAGAAGTCGTTAATTCCAAGTTGAAATCAAAAGAATTCAAAGGCATTTCTGCAATTCTGTTCGAAAATCGGTAAACCATAACGCCACTCTATAAAAACTGCGACCACCTTGTTACTCTACACAAAGTATACTAAAACACCATCACATTAGATTAGGAATTCTTTTAGTTAAATATAATTAGTCATTTATTTCTTCAATTCCGACTTATTTTCTGTTTGGGATAATTTACTAATCACTTTACACTGTGATCCATGATAGATTGTATGCCATATGTTTTATAGAAATCTTAAATATGACCAACTTAGAATTACATAATAATAATTGTTCTGTTGCTATCTCTTAACAATACATTATAATTAACTCATTTGACTAACTTTTATTCATTTCAATTTTGTTTTTTTTACCTCTTTGCATAGACAGATATACTCCTCAAAAATTTCACAAAATCTTTCAGGTTCAAATCATCAACCATAACCTGGCAATGTCAATTGATATGAATAGTTAAGAGACTATGCATTACCGTATGTATAACTACTGAAAACCGCTTTTTTGTGTCACATGATATGTTTAAGTGGAAAACGTCACAAAGCTAGTATTCATTATATGATCAATTTTATAGGCATTTATGTAAATTTAAAAATTGAACGACTAAAGTACACATACATTTTACATAGGTGACATGCTTTTATTCACATGAAACAATACGAATTAATTGATTGCGGTTCAAGTAACTTGTTTAACGTAATATACTTAAGGCAACTATAAAAACCACTATTTGATAAATGCTTAAGCACTTTTAGCATTTAATATTATGATTTATATGGAACATTACATAATCTATTACTTTTGTACGTGAATTATGTAAAATAAACTGTTTAACTAATCGATTTATTACATAGAATATATATATATATATATATATATATATATATAATTGTTTCTTCCCACTTTGGTTGTTCGATCATTAAACACGGAACTTTCTTGAAATTAGTTTTGAAACCACACTACTGACTAGTTATTGAGATATAAATGAATAATTCATAATAACCTAATGTTTATTAGATTTGAATATCAACCAATAGGTGGACTATTCTGGAAGTCTGAGCTTGTTATAAACTCAGATATCTGATACAACATCACAGAGTGGATTCAAGCGTACTACTGTGACCTCTTAGAAACCCACTGAACGGTTTTTCAATAGCCATTATATTATCAATGTTTTCAATGATAAAAGCCCTCATAAAATTCATGTTACAGCAGTACTTATTCTGGTTATAGACACGTTTTATAAGTTGAACTGAATGAATTATACTCACCTAGTGAGGTTTATCATGAAACGAGACTATAAAAACAGTTATATCCGGAAATTTGTTTCGATATACCCTAACAACTATAGGTAAACATTGAGTCAGCTCACTTTTGATTACTAACTTAAAACAGTTGAATAAGCAACTAAGGTAACAAGTTGTACAATATAATATTTCAATTTTTAAAAACAAGACACTTACTAAGTTCTTTGGCATAAAAAGTTTATCCAACTCGGCATTTGTTGAATCTTCAAGTTTAAATGATTTCAAGTGATAATTAGTAGATTTCAAGAATTGATTACTCAATATTAATGTAAATAGATCATTTGAAGTAATCTAACAGTATATTAAATAAATACAAATACAATGTATTACAAGTACATCATATTCTCACAACATTTTAGCCAATCTATCAAGAAATAATTCTAAATAACTAACACTTTTTTTTCTTAAAATTTAGTTTGTCTAAGTTTACAATCTAAATGATTACAACATAAAGAATGTGTAGTGTAAACAATGATGATTCTATAAAATCACCAATAGTTATTCCACAACAAATTGCCAATTGAAGATGAAAAAAATCTGTGTAAACTGAGTCAACTTCTCTTTTATCTTTAATAAAATTAAAAAATTTACTCAATCAGTTGAGTAAAATCTATAGTTTTTTTTATATTATGTATATATGATTACATTTTTCTCTAGGTCACATAGTTGGCAACCAGAGTGTTTTTTTTTCTCCAGAATTACATTTCATGCAATATCGACTTGATATTAGCCATTTATATTTTCTAGTTGGTTAACCATTAAATATTATGATTCTAATAAAAGACTGAAAGAAACTATTGAATTGATAAAACCATATTTTAACGTCATCTATAGATCTAAAAAAAATAATGAGAAAAGTAAAAAAATGTATCTGTGCCACTAAATCAACTGAATTCTGTAATTGATTCACTTGCCTACATAATTATGCTGTATTAACTGTCTAAGTAACAATATATATCATGTAACTATATGATACTGCTCAACTAATCAGTATCTATATATGGACTTTTGATTTATTATGCACGGTTGAAAAGATTGTAACTGTTAGTGACAACCTTATTCATAATTTTGTAGTTGATACTTACATTTAAAGATTACGTGGTTTAGAATTTATAAGGAAACGTAATTTATGTTGTTACACTTAGTGATAAAAATATAAAGCTTGGAAACTGATTACGGATTCATAAGTTAAGTAAAATCACTAAATATATTGTAATTCCATTACTTTTAAGCTAAAAGAAATGATTTTCACGATCTGTTTACTTACAAATTAAAAAATTCACATAATTTTCAGCCACACTCAGTGTCTCACAAATTTATGATTATAGGATAGTCGTCTACAGATATATGTACAGCAATGAAGTGATTCAATAGATAGGCAGTGGTACTCTTCACTAAAGGTATCTTGGCAGAGACAGTCGCTTATGTATTTTGTGACTGCTTAATTTATGAATTCAGTGTTCTATCTACGACAACTATGAAGTGTAGTTCGTATTTCCAATTAGCTGTATTCCGTGATTTAAGTTGACTTCTAGGAGTACACCATATCACTAAAACAGCCCAACATTGAACACTTTAGTGAAAAGATTCCATCGCCAATTAAAAAACTCGTTTATGCCACAGACGAATACAACAAAATGCAGTGATGTACTGCAACTTGTTCTTTTGAGAATCTGACTTAGTATCACCGAAAATATCCAGTGGTCGACAGCTGAATTAGTGTATTGGCACAACTCTAATTTGACCCAGACAACTACTTAACGAGAATGATAAACTGAATGGCAACTCAACAGGATTTGCCAAACTGTCACTACAAACAAGGAAACAAATGAAGTCAGATCCCCATGCACATATACTCGTAGTGAACAGATTATCCGACACCTAAGCACATGCAAATCTATTTTCGCCTTGGGACACTCTAAGAGGAAGCTATGCGGAGGTGGTTAATTTGGACTCAATTTATGAATGGTCTTTGTTATTATTCACATCCTTCAAAATTTCATTCTATTTGTACAGTTCTCATTGTTTATTGTAAAATGTTGTTTGAATTGTCAAATTAGCTTCCACGCATAAAAATATTTGTCATATTAACAATCGTTAAATATAATACATATGCTACTCACAACATTTAGTGCTCTCTCTTTTAACTGTCTTTAATTCATCAGATTTATATAAACCTTTTCATACATATTTTAAGTTGCTTTCTCCAATATTTATCAGGTGAAAACCACATTTCAAATATTTGGTAACATATATATATATAAAACTCTTTGGGGATAATAATTCTCCTATATAAAACTGATGATTCAGCTTGGACCTATTTGGTCATACAGACACTCATCACTCACAAGAAACCATATTTTATAACATCCTAATTGCTTCATATTATTTATCAACTAATTAAATCCATTGGTCTTTTTGTAAATTCATATACTCGTATTTTTGGCGTATCGCTTTATACTACAAGGTATTTTAAAAGATATCACAAAATTTTTTTATCATTTTAATTGTAATTCATCTCATATATATCAGTAACTAGATTTCTATCTGCTTGCGTAAATGAACTAGGTGAATTAAAATTTGATATTCAGTAAGTTATCAGTAGATGTTGTCTTTTATAATCATTGAAAAAACCGAATGTCACACGTCAAATAGCTTATCAAAAATACAAAAATAATAAAGAATATGATTAAACTGAAACTTACAGCAGTATAGAAGCTTTGAGATGTGAATTTCAGAGTGAAATTTACTTGTTGCTTATCATTATTGCAAAATTCATTATCTTTTAGTGTTAGATATTGAATATCATTTGAAGAACTGTATAGAATTTTGCTATTAATGGATTGGCTATTCAAAATATCTAGACCACCATCAGACCATAATTGAAGATAAAGTGTTTCACATTCATTAGCTTCTTCATAGAAGGTGTTAAACTCAAGTTTTATTAAACAGGATTGGCGTGCAGCTGAATTGTACTTGAAATGACCATAAACTAATGCACTTCGTCCAGTTGTTAGAGGATGTGGTAAATCATACTGCTATCACATTTTATTGACTTTAATAAAACAACGAGTTAAAATAAAAGCATGATTATAATCAGAACGGTGAAGCAATAAACCTTTTTATCGTACATTAAAGCAAAACATTTCAAAAATGTATATATTTGTTACTTTCCCACTGAAACTACTATAGTTTTGCATTGGTCATCATAAAATGTTGATAGATTCACAATGAACTATTTTTTTGCCAAACTTATTTAAAAATCAATATTTTATGAACATGAATTAACATCATAAGTGGATTGAATTATGTCGTATCTATGAGGAAAAAAAAACCCCATTGGTTCATTATCATATGTATTGTGTAATCAACCAAAATGTGTTATATAATAAATTTTGCAAGTACGAAAAACAATCATAAATGGTACGACATAGTTCTATCTCATAACACAAACATTATTAGATTGGAACACATCTTGACTAGATTTGTGTCTGAAAACTGATATCCTAATAAATTCATTTTAGCTGAATTGTTAATGTTAAGCCTTCAATATAATACAACATTACATAATAATGTACACCCATAATGATTTGGCAAAATGAAGGTTTGATCATTGTTTTAATTGTGATTACAGATATATATATATATATATATATATATATATAGATAGATAGATAGATAGATAGATAGATAGATAGATAAAGTAAGATACGAAGTTTAAATCAACCTACAATGTAGTTAACATACAAAAACGGTAATTCTATCTATGTCAAATACAAATCTTAAATTAAATGGAATTTAATTAAAAAATTATAACCAACTTGCCAAATATTAGGAAGAAAAACATTATCATAGAAGAATATGATCTGGGTTAATAAAGATCTGATGAGAAACTGTAACACATTAGGACACTATGTAAACCAATTAAAATAAAACTACAACGGTATTTCACTTATGAAGCTTAATTCATTAATTACTATACATATTAGGTACCTTTATTAAGATTATTGTTGTGATACATTCTTGAGTGAATTTTTTTATAGATATTTTTTAAAATGAACTATTCATGTCACTACATCCGATCATTTTAAATGTTTATAATTATTATCAGAAGGGCTTTGTGGATATAATAGTAATTTCAATGGTTGAGATCATGAGTCAATTAAAGCTAGACCACCATGAAAAATCTGGAAGCATTGGACGGCCGTTTCGTCCTATTGTAGGACTGCTCATGGGTGCTTATGCACAATCCCGCCTCACGAAATTCGAACCCAGGTACTATCAGTTTTGCGCGCAAGCGCTTAACCACTAAACCACTGGATTGGTTGAAGTTAGACATTAACACCGTTGGATGCCGGCAGGCTCAGTGGTCTAGTGGTCAAGCGCTCGCGCGCGAGACTGATAGGTCCTGGGTCCGAATCTTGTGAGGTGGGATCGTAGGTGCGTATTACTGAGGAGTCCCGCAATAGAAGGAAACGGTCGTCTAGTGCTTCTAGGTTTTCCATGGTGATCTAACTTCAGTTGACTCATGTTTATAATTATTGTTAAATTACTATAATATACTAACCTGAATAATATCTTTTAATAAATAGTTTTGAATTAAATGTTTATGAACAATAGGAGCTGAAGCGTAAACATTTGATGCATAATTTGGATATACATTCCCATCTATACGGATTGGATTATAGGCTAAAAGAAATGTATGAAAAATTAGTGTTGTATATACCTGTGTAGTTTTACTAAGATTAATAAGATTTAATTTTATTGTGAAGATTATTAGTTGTACAGTTGGTAAACATCAATAATGATAATTATTATCTCCAATGTAGCTCTGTTACAAAAGATGTAGGTTTACAAACATTTATATTTAAATGCTTCAAAAACATTGACACAGCTTAATCCTAACATAACAGTGAAGTTAAAATGATGAAAAATATTGAGCACATAAGTATTTAGTATAGTCAACATTTACTATGTGACTACTTCTATACTAACGTACGACATAGGTCGATTTATAAACCTTCTCTATGGAAGCTAAAAGTGGTAGGTAAAACACCTCGTACTTTGGTTTCCAATATCTACAATTTTTGAAACAAAAGCATGTACATTCATACAGATGATTCGGATAACCAAACCGTATAATCAGAAAGCATAATTACTCTTAAAATAATTGGTTTTCGACTGCTTCATAGAAACCATAATTTCTCTAACGAAGCAAAAACTGAATAAAAGTACCTCTTTTCTACTGGATTTCAACTAGTTTATGAGTGTACAAAAATATTTGTATAGATCTACAACTTCCACAGTTATTATTTTAACATGCAATTTTCATTTAAAATAGTGAAAATTTCAACCCTTACAGTCGGTGAACTTGTGAACAGTAGTTTGATACTGAATAGCTTATAAGGCATGATTTGATCCTTAGAAAAAGCGGCAAAGATCATCGAGTACAGGTACATTTATTTATTAACTATTCTACATATAAGTTATTGGTAACTTGGATATTACATTTCAATATAAATAACTCTCAGAGTTTCTTAGCCTATAACTTATTCAGAAGTCAAAATGATAGTTTTTATTATAAAAATATTTTACAAAAATTATAATATAACGTGAACGTAAGAGTAAATAGGAAGTGAAAAAAATCTCCTTACGTGAATTAGAGCTGTTCAACCAAGATGAGACTTCTTCCTTTTTAGTACCTGGACGTTTTCTATATTTTGGGGTCAATTTTCGATCAGTTGGTTTAAGCGATGAGATACTGCTGCTGACTGATTCTTGACTGTCATTTCTATGTAACCCCATATTACGTCTAGCTTCACGTTCCAATTTCGTTGATCGTTTAGAACGATAATTTCTCAGGGAACGTTTACGATCAAAATAATATTCACTTTTACCTACTTCTAAGTAACATTCATTGTCAGTATACACCTCACTGCCTCCACTCTCTGTTTCATCACCATCTGATATATGTTCACTTAAAGAAAGAGCTTTACGTGTAGATTGCACTTTTTCTTTTAGTACATATTTTGTTCCTTGTATTTCATTAGTATTAGTACCAGTTAGGGTATAATCTGCATAGGGTCGATGATCTGCTAAATTATTTTTGTGTATATCGGCAGCTATCTCTGATGCACTTCCACTGGGCTTAAAAGGTTTTTTTCCTGACGTATCTACTGTAGGATACGGATGGAAGTTTTGATCAAACCTCTGAGTAAGAGTTATATCTTCATGGTTGGGACTTTTAGTTCTCGAGTTTATTATCGCCGCTATTTCAGGAGCTGTACCTTTTAATTTTAAATTTGCAATATCAGAGGGAGGTTCATTATGATATCTTGATTGCTTCGGTGAATGGTCTGTTGGTGTGAATGGTCTTATATGTGAGCCTGAACCTTGAGCAATGGTTATATCTTCTAGATTTGAAGTAGGATGCTTCGAGTGAATTAAAGCTGCTAATTCCGGAGCTGGTCCTTTAAATTTACCTTGTGAGTGCAAATCACTTAGAGATGAAATCTCGATGGATTTTCTTGAGTCGCTCAACGTCTTGTTTTTAAATGGATCATAAGAACTACCAACATTTTCATATCCATCATAATGTTTCCTATCAAAAGGTGCAAAATGAGTATCTTCACTCAATATTTCACGACCAGTTAAATTAAGTGTATCAAATTCAGCTGATGGATTGGATTTGTGAAGATAAGCTGCAATTTCAGGTGCTGGTTTTTTAGACATCTCTTTTGGTAATCGTTCAGTGACAGCTACATTAATTGCCGGATGTATAGTGTTCCTAGTAAAAGCAAGATCTGATGATACTGAAGGTGTTTGATCTGAAATCGTAATAACATGAAACAAGGTTACTTGATAACAATGAATTATACGGAACAAAATTTTCAGAACAAAATTTCAATAGCCATCATACTTTATTTCTCAATAAGTAAACTTAAATAATTTACGTTTTTACAGATTTTATATTGATTTAAAATTAAAAAGTTCAAGGAAAGGAACCTACAGTATTCTTACCCAACGTGTCATTTATTCTCCAATGATTGTTTAGGTCCTAAAAAACTTATACAAAATTACTATAAAAATAATTTGCTTTTTACAAAGACGAGTTCTGAATGAAGAATTGTATATATTCGATAGAAATTGTCCTCTATTTGTTTAGTTAATGGTTAATAGCTAGAATTAGTCAATTCAAGATTGTTTCAAATATAGGTATCCATATCAAGGTTGGATTTGATAGTTTCAAATAGATTGAGCATTTGGTAGAGAGTTAATAATAAATATATATTTTGTTATATCCAAATGAGTAGAAAAGCTGTATATCTGACGTTTCATGACTTAATGTAAGCCACTTCTTTAGAGTAAATAAATAACCGACAATAAATTAACACAAGTTTAATGTTGGTTATTTGTTTACTCTGAAGAATTGGCTTACATTAGGTCATGAAACGTCAAAAACACTATTTTTCTACTCATTGGGATATTACAAATATATGATTTTTACTTATAACAATCTACCCAATACTCAATTTATGCGAAATCATCAATTCAAACCTTGTTAATGATACCTACATAAGTAATCATATTTCTTCTGTTAGATTGCTTAATTTAATTTCGATTTTCTTAATAAACTCATATCAGTATCATTCGAAAATGAGTGTGGTATAGTTTAGGACTCCTCAGAATTTCTTACACATGACATGAAACAAGATTAAAGCCAAGACCTACTGGTCTTATAATAAATATGTCATATTCATACTACCATGTCACAACTCAGTGGTCTACATTTTCAACTTAAATCATTACATGATTGATGCTATCTTCATATTGTCTTTCCATAGCTATAGTTAAATCCTATTAATCTCAGCTTTTCATTAGAACTTTAGTAATCCTCTTCGGGGTTAGCCAACATTAGGGGTATTATTATTATTAAGCTAGTGGATTTGAGAAAATTTAGCAGTTTAATTGAAGGGTACAAAATTTTAAAATCTTAAATCCAATTCACTTATCTGACCTAGAATAATCCGAGTGAAGGAAGCTAAGAACAATGGTTTCGTGCTGGAAACATGTATCTATAAACCTTATACTTAGTACATTTGCATTAAGGAACATACAGAATTTCAGATTTGCCACTGTGATGAATCAGGATTATCGGGTTAATTAACAGTAGCCCCTGAAAATTAATTTGCCAGAAACTACTATGGATAATAACTGGATTTTCTAAATAAAGATGTTTGTACTATTGAGAATGTTTGCACAATAGTCATGGTGTTTATTATAAAAAGTGGTTGGATTTTTACAGCATATAAAACTACTGAAATGATTAAATTTAAATCTCGATGAACGGATGATATTACAAATTATGAGATCGGCTAAACTGTATAACCTATAACTTTTGAATGATGAAAAATCGATTTAAAACTGATGTTTTCAACAAAACTGTTCTATGAACGGATATGCTAACTAATAACCTATTTTTCGAACTTTCAAACAGTTTAGATAGACCAAGAAGACAAAACTGTGGCTCCATTGAAGACACATAGTATTCGGATCTTTTCACAACAGACGTAGGCACATTTTATTAAAAACCAGTTGAAATAGGATCTTATATCAGCTGCTATGCGAACCGCTTCCTGAACAGAGAAAAAACCTTATTCGGGAAATGTTTCGAGATTGGAAATATCCAAAAAGCTCTAGTTACACACACTAGCCCCTTCAGATAGCTTAGCATTGCTCTGAGTTATAATCATAATTTAATCTTTTTATCAGTCTAGTATCGATCTGAAGCAGGCCAACTTTATTGTCGGTGTTTGGGCAGTTGATAACACAATTTTCTGCTATTTGTCATTCTAATGACTTTTACATGTTTTTTTGTTGCTTTATCAAATGTAAAATGTACTTATTTGATTGTTAAGTATTATAAGTTAGTTAGAGAAGAAGGATTGAGCGATAAAGATGAGATAATAGTCATTAGTACGTATTAACACTGTGAAATTCCCTTCATCCACAGTAACTTTATTTGACTAATCTAGCTATGGTCATACTGACTGTACCTTTAGTTTTCGAACGTTTAAAAGGATTTTTTAAATGTAAACCCTTCTTCTTTTTCTCGCCTTCGCCATCTTTCAACCTTATGTCTGGAGTAGATCCTTTGGATTTCTTAGAGTCATTACGTACATCTGACTCGGAGCCTGTTGATTTTCTGTTCTTTCCAAGTAAACTGAATCGTTTTTTCTTATGTTTGTCTTGCAGTTAGGTGTTGATGTTGTAGCAGAAAGTTGAGATCCTATATGATCTTCGTCATCCAATACAGAATAGCTTCCATGGTGTAAATCGCCTGCATCTGTCTGACTTCTGCCTTCGTTAAAACGTTGTTCAATTTTACTATTACTTAAGGTAGCAGATTTCCGAGAACCAAAAATAGATGTTTTCGATTTTATATGTGACGCATCATTTGTATTAAGGTTACCTCGACTTCCCATTACGTAATCTGATACTCTGTCATTAGCTGACTTGCCTAGAGGTGGTAATGTTCCAGAGATTCTTGAGTCTGAATTGTGACTAAAATCAATACTATTACGATATGAATGGGCTGCAGAATTTCGATCTAATGTAGATACTTTGTAATCAACGTCTAAATATGCTCTAGATAAATCATTTGACGTTTTCCAAGCAGTAACTTCTAGATTACTATCTTTACTTTTTATAGATTGTTTCTCCAATTTGGAACCTGTTCTTGTTGGTACCATCACTGGCGGATCATTTCTGCGTATGGAACTTTGTCTTAACTCATTGACACGTACAAAGCCTGCTTGTGCATCATCCATTCTAATGCTATTACTGTTATTATTAGCAGAAGACATGTTTGTATTATTATTCATTTCCTCTTCATCATAATACATGTCTTTAAATTCAAGAGATAATATATCAACTTTTCCTTGCATTGATAAAGCAAACGCTTCGTTCAATGGTACAAGATGATCTTGACCACAAACGTCCTCCCCGTTTAATTTAACCTATAGAACGGGAGAAAGAATAAGAACAGGACAAGAAAAGTTTAATGATTTGAAAATTAATAATGAAATTTCATTTGAAATATATAAATTTATATTTCAAGTTCAGTTATCGTCTTTCCTCGTTTCCGGGGTGATATAATTAATTCTATATGCTCTTTATAAATTTCAGAACTGTGGAATATTGACTATTATCTTCACTACACAGTAATAAATTGATGAGTTTACAATATATACCACAAAGTTCGTTTGAACATTTAGGCAATTTTAATGCAGAAAGATGTATGAACCATAGCATATATTCTTAATTATGTCAATTATTGCCCAATTTAAAGGATTTGATAACTGGGAATTTGGATCAGGGATTAAAGTCTAGATCTTAAAATTTAGCCATAAAATATAGTTGATAACTAGTTATAGAACAAGTATTACATATTACTTCTTGTTATAAAACTAAATGTTAAACACATTTTTTTAATTATTTTTAAGCGATCACGATTCTGTAGTTACATCATGACATATTACAATAATCGATCTGGATCAATTATTAGATTAATTACTTACAGAAATTAAGCCTTAGTTCTTACTCAACATTTGTATTTCTGATTGTTAAACCATTAAAATGAATATGATTACCAAAGTTACCATAAAATAAATTCACATGAAACGTTCTTATTTTACTTAAGATGTAAGGATATCACAGTCATAGTATCCGCAATATGTTTTAATATATATCGTTTTACATTTTCAAAAAAAGTTACTTTTGTACACTGTAATTAACAATTACAATAGTAAAACAAATAAATCTCGGACATTTGTGTATGGCAAAATGTTTGTTTTTTAAATCGACAAACGAAAATGATATGACTCCATAGCTGAATAGTTACATGATGATCAGAAGAAAAATGATGCATATACTTGATTATGAATTATGAAATAATCATTGAAAATAGTTTGTATTTAGTTAGTTATGTTTCTTTTAGGTTTTGTTGTTGGCTGACACAATCCAAAAATAAATGATCACCATGAGGTACAAAAAAGTTATTTAGTACTAGTTATGATCTTTTAACAACGTGTTATCAAGTTTGTGCAAAATATGAACGCAAAAATGTTAGCTTATCCCAATTGATATCCGTCAGTCATGAAAAAATAATTCACTTCACTGATTAATGACATAAGATTAGTGGAATGAATAAATAATATGTTTAGAGAAAACAAATATAAAATGATAGGTTGTAAGGTGATTAGATAAATGGACATTTAAGCTGTCTACAGAAAATCATTTCATTTATGAGTTCTTTTTTATTAAACAAGCACTATGTTACCAGGGCTACAATTATATGTGAGAACGTATGTACGCACTTGATCTATATAGGTAAAAGATATCATTTATTAAATAATTGATAAAGTTGACATGTTTCTCCATTTAAATAACTGTAGTGAAAACTGTATCTCTACGATTTATGTATACTGGAGACAACTCGTCTTAGGAAACAAAAAAAGTTGTCCTATTCTTGGTATTTCTGGTAGTTCCCCTAAAGAAAGTGAAAAATATATTCTTTATAAACACAGGTTATTTTAGTTTGGGTGACTGTTGCTTGTGGTAACAGTTGACATCATCAGAAATATCCCTATGTACCAGGCAGAATTAGACAGCTGTTTAGATTTAGTTTACAACTTCAGCAGTACTCACTTTTTCGGCACATGTTTTAAAATTTGGACGATACAGAAGATCAGCATGGCCCCTGCTCAAGGACGACACGCGAAATCGTGAAGCATTCCATATTTTAACTCCACCTGTAGCTCTTCTAAGGCTAATGCCAACCTCAAGCCCCGGTAAAGGAGGAGGGTTGGGCGTGGGGCCGGCGACCCCATCCCGTAGAAAACAACCATGCTAAAAAACGCTAACCAGAATAAACAATTTAAAGTCTTTCCTGGGAGTTGAAGGAAGAATTATGACGCCTCATGATGAAAGCCGATATTCTTCGAAGTTACGGGGCCAATGCCCCTTCTAGCAACCAGATCAACAGTTAATATAGGTACATGGAACGTCCGGACAATGTGGGAAATCAAGAGAACTGATGGAATAGCAACAAAAAGAGGAGATACAACTTGGCAGTACTTGGAATCAGCGAAACCGATTGTACCCAAGCTGAACAACAAATGCTAGATACGGGAGAGATGCTGCTGTATTCCGGTAATGAAGAGGAAAATGCTTCACACACTCAGTGATTTGGTCGAATGCTGTTCAAAGATGCACGAAATGCACTTACAAGATGGGAATCTCATGGATCTAGGATCATCAAAGCATCCTTTAAAACAAAGAGGGAGGGAGCTACAATGTATGTTATCTAATGTTATGCACCCACCAATAATACCAATGACAACCATAAGATTAATTCTACGAGAGGGTGTGATCGATTATAGCAAAGCCCCTAGAAAAGAACCTGAAAATCCTGATGGGAAACCTAAACGCCGAAGCCGTAATGGACATCACCGGATATGAAGATATCATGAAAGGACACAGACTGTGAGAGAGAAACCAAAATGGGGAGAGATTTTCAAACCTATGTGCATTCAAGAAATTGGTTCTGGACAGCAAAATATTGTCACACAGACGCATAAATAAAACTATATGAGTGTCACCAGATCACACCACGGAGAACCAGATAGATCATATTTGTATTGATGCAAAATTCAGGACAGTAGAAAACGTGAGAACCAGTAGAGGAGCCGACGTAGCTTCAGATTACCACCTGGTTGTGATCAAGAACAAAATCAAGCTAAAGAAACATTGGACAACTGGACAAACAGCACTACAAACGTGGTACAGTTTTCCTTCGAAACACTGACATAATTAATTTAAGATAGACCCCAGTAATAGGGTGCAGGCTTAGGATGGGCTACACTGCAAAGTGGTGCATGTGGATAGCTGACACATGCATTCCAAGTAAGAACTGGAGTCTGACAAGGCTGTTTACTCTCCCCCTTTCTCTTCCTTCTGGTAGTTGACTGGATTATGAAGACCTCCACTACTCATGGAGAGTACAAAATACAGTAGGTAACTTGGATGCGACTAGACGATTTGGACTTCGAAGGTGACCTAGCCCATCCATCCCATACACATCAACAAATGCAGATGAAGATAACTTGTGTAGCGGCAGTCTCTGCATCAGAAGACCTCAACATACACAAGGAAAAAAGCAAGATTCTCAAGTGCAACACGGAGAACACTAACCCAACCATACCTAACAGAGAAGCTCTTGAAGATGTGGAGTATTTTATGTACCTGAGAAGCATCATCGACGAACAAGGAGGATCCGATTAAAACATTAGGGCGAGGATCGGCAAAGTGAGGACCGCATTCCTACAGTTGTGGAACATATGGGACTGAAAACAACTGGTAACTAACATCAAAGTGAGAATCCTCAATACGAACATTTAGACAGTTCTACTGTATGGAGCTGAAATGTATGAGTATTTACCAACAATTGAATATGTAAGATACCATCAGCAACAGTCTACTGCGGGAGAGGACAAACCAGCTTCCAGATGAAGAGGAAATTATAAAAAGACGTTGGAAGTGGATAAGACACACATCGAGGAAATCATCACGAGGCAAGTGCTAACTTGGAATCCTGAAGGGAAACGGGAAAGAGGAAGGCCAAATAACACACTGTGTCGAGAATTGGAAGCAGACATGAAAAGGATGAATAGAAACTGAAAAGTACTTTCCAGGAAAACGGTGGATGGAGAATGTTTGTAGGCAGCCTATGCTCCCCCATGAGGGGTAACAGACATAAGTAACTAACTAGATAAGTTCAGAGGTACCCACTAATATCCACTGTCAATGGTTAGACAAAGTATCATGCAGGTTAACAGCGAACACTTCATCCTTAGGTCTATCCATATACACATGAATATTTTATTCTTGGTACTGTTCATTATCAGTTTCAATGTTCGAACCCATTTTAGTGATCTAATAATATTTAAATAACAATGCCTGACAGCAAATGATATAAATTTTTAAATAGGGACTGTAAGCTAACAGATGATATGGAGCTTTTATCACAGTAATATTATTTAAGTAATAAGTTTGTCAAACTGTGAGAAGTAGCTAAACTTCTAATTTTGTACTCCAATAACGCCTAAACTTGGTTTAGATGAAACAAAAAAGACAAAATATAAGATAAATCCACAAATTTCTCTTGTTTTAATTTTCACATTGCTTAGATACTATGTAACCATAGGAACAAAGCACTTTGAATTAACTTGAACTTCAAACGTAATCAAAGCTTTTAATTCTTAAGCTTTTTGCCGCTTAATTAATCGTCACCAGCTGGAAGTAAATACTGTTCATAACCTTTATTTCCTGATAAATATCTAGATAGATTATTTGATATTATTCATAAATGTATATGTTGTATTAGTAAAAAAAATCAATAAAATCCCATACTTAAGCTTAATGGTATAGATGTAATCTTTATAGCACAGTTTTCGATATTTACAAGTGTATACAACCATAACAATTCTATTTGAAATTTCTATGGATGACTTTTAGAATATCCTTTAAGAAGCAGGATGTATGTGAAAAGGAAACTCTATACATTATATATATATAATACATATCAAACGCAATTTTGAGTCTATCCAAAATAATAGGTCACTTAATAAAAACATGTACTGAGAATTCATGAAAATATTCAAAAATAACATATTATATGAACGATATTAGTAAAATAAAACATTCATTTTTATTCAGCTTACAACATAACATTTCTTATAAGCATGTACGCATAATTCGAAAGCTTTATCAATTTGTATGCCATTTTCCACAGAACGTTCTTGTTTTGCTACCTTTTCTGGATTACGACTAATTACAGTTACTAAACCATCTGTTGTTAAAATGATTTGTAAAGGTAATTTATCAAATATATTTTGAGTAGATGCTTCTTCTGTTAATAATTCAAAAACTATTCTGTAAGAAATTTCAAACAATAGATATTATAAATAAAGGTAAATAGTTTTATGTTTTATATAATAAAATTTTCTAATCTCATTAATGTACTTGATGTAAAATTCAAATTCAACCACAAACTAATGTACAATTGGCATCATTCGATATTGTTTCCAGAGGATTCAAAAGTTGTTAAATTAAGCTGGTATATGGGCAGCCATTTCTAGTTAGTTCCTTCTTCTCTTAGTTACTTAATTGTATAACGAATGGCTTCAAGTAGATCTTTCAAAAAAAATTGTTTACTAGCTACGGTTTGCTTAAGACAGAAAACTAACGATGACATTCTGTGATTTAAATGGTTCCATTAAATGCTTGTGTTTCACTTTATGTGCTACTTATCAGGTTTTGTCAGTTCAACTGAGTCTATGTTCAGCAGAGGTTGTGGTTGAAGGTTCTACTTCACTTAACACGTTCCAAGCTTGAAAACCATTCAGTTGAAATATCAATGATCTGTGTAGTGGATAACAATGAGTATCAAAAACTGCTATTGTTTGAAAAGAAACTGTTTCAGTTGCATGCTTTTTAAGAAGATAGATGTAAGCACTTACATATTCCACAGTTATCTGTACAAGTCTAGAGGAGCAAAAACAAGTATCGAGGTGTTGTAGAAGTTATTGTTATATTTCTATGCAATCTGTTTTTCTCTGGACAACTCTATTCATTTAATGGTTTATTTTAAACTGGTCAAGTATTATATGACTTTTCTGTTTCCATATTACCTGTGACCTTGCTAATTACATTCATGTGGATTTTTATGTGCTTGGCCTGTAAGTCTCTGTTATCTTTACTTTAATTAATTATATGTAATCAATACACTTTCCGCGTTAGAAACGGATTAACATTTAATTCTCATTTAAACAATAAAAACACTAAGTTCAGCGAAGGGATCCCCTGTAATTGTTAAATGATTCTTATTAACATTTACTCTGATACCTTCTACTGTTATTTGAGACAAACACATTTGAATAATGAATTCTTTTTTGATTATTCCAAATCATCCCAACATGAATAAATTGTAGTTCATTGAGATAATCATACTGAATCACTATTGGTGTATTTATATGGAAGAAAGATATAATAATATTTCAACAGCTAAATGATTCAATTATGAATCTTTCGTCGTTGTTCATCCGTTTTGTAATATACTTAACGTGGATTCTGATAATGTCGTCGAAATCGACACTGAAACTGCCTAGCTTAGAGTATGCAGCATCAAGAAAATCAAATTATTCAAAGTCAGAAAACTGTCATTTAATTATTTGACATCAGTTTAAAAATTATAAGCCTATTACTCTACTATTTCTAAATTCATCATATATAAGTGTGAACTGGATTTGGTGTTCTGGTAATTAGCTGCTGTCTTATAGTATATGATGAAAATCATGCGTTGATAATGCACTTTCAAACTTTTGGCAACCATATTTTAAATACATAGAAAATAGTAAATTGTAGTAATCAGCAACACAAATCTTCACGGCTGTATTCCTCAATCACGTTTTCTTAATAACAACTTAAATCACCATCACTCTGATATAAAATTATTCTGAAAATCAAATAATTTAGGTAGCTCATTATTTATTATTAGTATGAACTTTCTGAGAGGATCAGTTAAACCCCTTTTCCAATATTAACAAAATACTATGTTAATAAGCTGTAAAGAATAATTTCAGTATAACCTACCGTTTACCATGACAAACTCCATGGATTTCAATATAGTCTCCATCCATTAAACAATCTGGTATTTCATACGTGAATTCTGTATCCTGAATAAATTCAAAAAAATATATTAAAACATCTTCGATTAATAAATAATCATGAGAAATTGGTAAAAAAACTTTAAATATGATTCTTGTAATTTATTGAATGATAAGTGAAACCTCATTTCAACATGTTCATAAGTTATATGCTCGTAAATGTTTTGACTTAGAACTTTTTGTATGCGAATAACGTAACTCTTCACAGTGTTTGAATAATATATGGAAGTTTTCATAGAAAAGAACTCCTAAATCGGTTGAAATTATAGCTTATCCCATTAATTACAACAATTTAGACGGCCTACTATTGTATATACTTTATACATTAGAAAAATACCAAAGAGAACATTAAATAAATTTTGGAACAGATACATCATCATTACTCTATTAATGAAGTCATTTGTAAAAACTAACAATACTTTATATTGTTTGTTAAATGTCTATTACACAAGATGACGATATAATATAGCGTCAAACTGCTGAAAGCATAATTTAATCTAAATCAACTCCAGAAATTATCAACAACGAATTAAGGAGTAGAACAATATATCTTTTTTAATACTACGAAATGTAGCTACTTAGCATACAATTTGAGTAAATATGTTTAGTTATAAAACAATGCTATTCATGTAATTCAATATCAATACGAGATTTTTTCAATTGTATGTTTGAAGCTTAAGTTCGTTCAGATCTTTAAGAGTATTCTTTTTCTTATATCTTTCTGTTAAGCTTAAAATTTCAAGAATCACTATCGAAGATTAAAAAAATGAAGAAAAGGTATTCAAGTGTAGTTGTCTCATTAGCAATCAAAAGTCATATTCTTAATTTTATAATGATATTATATTAAATAAAATGTTAATTAGTAACTTGTTTAAATCAATCTGATCATATAATGTGTGATAGAGAAAAATCGTTTCTTTTATAGACTGGTAGCCCTTTGATTACCAAATCATAAATTTCTATTCAAAAATCATTTATGAACCTATGCGACTAGACTTAAGTGAATTTCGTTGGGAAGTATTGTGGATATGAATTTAATCTAAAGATTAGATTATTGACAGAGCTTGGAAGTTCAGAAAGAACAGTTGAATGGTGGAAGAAGTTTGTACGCTAATTTAATTTATACCCGGTTGATTGACATTAAACACTCAATAAGTTAGGTGATTAATAGAAAGTTTTACCTGTGCTCAGTCACACATTTACACAAGACAGAATAGAATATTGCATATCTTGCAATCAGTGTACTGCAGTCCAGCTAATGTGCTAACATCCAAAGGTCCACATTTCCAGGTTCTGTCAGAGCGATCAGCATACGAAGTGATGTATGAATAACCATACGAAGATATGGCATTTTTGATTAAACTGGTAAAGACTTGTAAATGAATCTTGGGAAAAATCTTCTACTTACTAAATACTATGCAATCATTTACTGTGAGAAATATCCTTATTACAAAATTTTCAACCAGTAAAAGTCACCTTCGATTACATAACTAACAAATTAAAACTAAGTCTATAAATCATTAAGCTAAAAATTAACTAGATCCATACCATATCCGTACAATAAATCATGACAATAAAGAAAGTGTCCAAATTTGTCATTCAGTAAAATTAAGACGCTCATCAATGTTCAAACTAAGCATAACTATACAGAAGAAATTGTTTTGAAAATTAAAATGATATAACTGACTTCATGTTGCTTTACTTCAAGTCAGTAGCTATAGGGAAAGAATAAAATGAAACGAGGGTGTTGGTTACCACTGATAGACGGCATCCCAAATACTAGTTGGTTTGAGATTGCTCGCATGAATCACCTGGTTGAAGCTAAGTACAAGTTGGTACTTTGCATCATGGTATATCCCTACACCTGGGGAGCTTATTCATCTATAAGTGATTCGAACCAACGTCAGTGTTGGAGTAATATCATCAGGTTAGCAGCTGATATTCTGTAGGACTAAGGTATTTACCAATTAGATCACGGAGTATTGACCAGTGATCTTTCTATCTAGTCATTAACTCTGATCAAATATTATTATTAAGTTGTACTGTGGTAAGTGGTCCAAGTGATGTTCGTTTGCACTATGTCTTGATGTGCGATGTTTGAAGGTGGCTTAAATTTATCTCCGCTTATAACGTGGTCTGAATAGGTTATATGTAATAACAGACAAACATTTTATAAACCTCATGCATTATCTACTATTATAAGTGGGTTGTTTTCGTATTTATCAATCATTTTGTAATGATGAGGTTTATTAATGGAAAATCGTACATAGTTATGTAAAAATAGTTGTTGATAATTGTATGATTAAGATATTTAGTTGAATTACATTGTTTCAGTGTCATGCTTAAAAACGTTGGTTTATTTTTATGCCATTTCTGCTATTTCAATAGTTAAGATCATGAATCATTTTAAGCTAGATCACCATGAAAAACCTGGAAGCACTGGATGGCCGTTTCGTCCTATTGTGGGACTCCTCAGCAGTGCACATCCACTACCTCGCCCCCACTGCGAGATTCGAACTCAGGATCTACTGGTTTCTGCTATTGTTTTACTAAACTAATTAAAGGATGCCAAATCATATAAATGGGATCGAATGAAAAGGTGAAACTGTGATGATAATTTTGAGTTGTGAATTGTATGCAAAATCATTCTTCTGACATTAAACAAAGGTATTTTTGGTATTTTTCACAACCATTTCTGTTCATAAGAATGACGAGAAAGTATAAAGACAGTGACTCTGTTCAAATTCATTGATTAAGTTACAAAATTCATGTCCTGAATGCGATGTAATGACAGTATGATAACTAAAAGCGCTATAGGAATCACTAATTTTATTCTCATTTTGAAATAGTCTGCATTATATAGCGTTATTGCTGATGTCTTCATAGAAGAATGAATAATTAATACCATTGCTCACAACCAATGTCAGCATTACTACTAAGACACCATCAATACATAGTCAGTATAAATGTCAAACTTCATTACTATTTACTTCTTACTTTTCAAACTTCACAGTTTATGATATGAGTAAATGCATCTCATTACAAACATACTACAATATTTTATTTCATAAAGCAATAGATTTATATCATGTGCATACAGTTCCACAAAAACTGAAAAAGACTCATAATTCTGTTAGTTTGCATAATTTATCAAGTTAGATAACAGTAATTAAACCATTTCAAATCTTTTAACTGAATATGTATCCCTACATTGCAAATGGATTCAGTTTTATATGACTAAAGACTAATTTATTAAAACGATATTATTTTCTTATTGCTTGATTGTTTAAAGTCGTACTTGCACAGTTATTCTCTCTAGCTATCTAGTCAAAATTTGATAGAGAAAACACTAAGGCTGAGTTACTTATTAACTGACTCTTAATTCGAGTCGCATTTCAATACATTGGAATAGTTTTAAACAAATAAACCAGTTTTATGATTAAACATAATACATTCACTATCCCATGATATCTGTTGTTTGAAACTTAGTAAACGAAAATTGATTAACAAAACAGTTTTGGACTGTGCTAAAGATAATAACACTGAGGAAGTGGTACAACTCCTGTATAAATTGTTATCTGTACATGAATGTTTATTTGAAAGTTTTCCAATGTTTCCCATGATATCGTCACTAATAAAAAGTATATTCATATTTTTTTCGTTCCTCTTCAAACCAAGCAGATGAATTTAATTCGGTTTTCCTCAATGTTTAAAATCCATTGATTGTTAAGTAGTCTAGAACCAAATCTACTAAAACATTCATTTCAATTGAGACTGTTGATTTGTTATGAATATTCTTAATTAGTACATGTCAACTTTCACTACAAAGTTCTCTGGTGGTTAGCAAAACATTCCATTCATTTGCTATATTTATTTGTTTCAGGTTTGTAGCAAAATAATTTGAATATATCTACTAAGTGGTACTTGGAATAGTTCGGTAATGTAATACCTTCCAACGATTCCATCTTCAAACATTTATGATAGAACAAAAACATTAGATATGTAATGATTTGTATTGTCAGAATATTAGTATATAGCAAATTATAAACAGATAAAATGGGTTTCACATCCTTGTTAGTCGGCCATAGAATGAATTACATAATTTCATAGAGTTTATGCATATTTTAAAGGTAAGTTTCAACACGAATTTATGTAAGCCGATAAGATATCATTAAAAACCATGAAGCAATGAACAGATAATTTACTCCAGTTGAGGAGTGTTCATTAGTGTCGATCCGAGGATATCAAAAGGCATCAACTCCTGAAAATTTTCATTTTACGATGAACATGGTTCGTATTTGAAAACTTCTGTCAATTCTTGACTTAGCTTGGTGTTCATTCGAATTGTAAGTGATGCAGTTACTCGATAATGATACTGGATAATAATTATATCAAAAAAATTTCGAAAGCTAAATAATGTTGACAAATTAAATGTATGACTTTTAGTGTTGTGTATGGAATCGAATAGATTGGCACTGAAAAAAGTTTACGTACTAAAACCATGTTTTGCTTCATGTAAGATAAAACATTGTTTCCCTATTTGGATAAATAGCGTTCATCATAGTGTTATTCAAGTATCACTATTTACAACTATTATGTATTTAAATTTTCAGGGAACAGTTGAGTAATTTAAATGTAACGTCTCTCAAACTCAAATATACTGGTTCTAGATTTAGAAGAAACAAAAATTGATTTAACATTATACGAAAATCCCCACTCATAATAGTGAGCAAAAATTAATCCTTATTATATCTGTTTTCTTATTAACTCTAAACAAACACTTAATATATCGCTGCTATTTACTGTTCGCGAAATCAAATTTTATATATAATGAAAGAATGATGAAATATATTTTTGGTTAGATCTTTTGTCTAGGTTTAAGACTCCACTCTGAGGCGCACTCATGACCCTACACGGGACGTAATCTAACTCTTACAGTCCTAAAAGCTATAATTCAATTACTTACACTTCCAACTCCGATCAGTTGCTAATATAAAGAGACTGTCATTCAGTACAAATGTTGATATCTGTCTCACCCCGAAGTTGTGATAATGGCTCTTCTGGTGAGAACAACCTAGTATTATAGTTATTTTCAGTAAATCATTCAAGAACATCGCATAGCTTTATTTATTAGGTATGATATCGAAGTGATTATTTTATCTCAACATTTCATTGTTAGAATAGAGGTTGGAAAGCCTTTCTATCGATTTCCGTCTGAGCAAACAGCATATCACTTCATTTATAAATCAAATATAACAAAAAATCAGACAAGCAATGTTAGTAACAGATGAATATATGTTATCATCATAATCTTGCGGAAATCGGAAAAATGTTTGCAGCGGTAAAGTAACCGGAAATTCAGATATTAAAACTAGAGCTGTTATACAATGAACTGAATCACTTTGATTAATTTACCCAAGATATTATGATTTAACACTAAAGAACAGTCATAAACATGAATTGAATAGCTTATAACCAATACTTGTTTCTGAAAAATTCTGTTACTGAGTTCAGTTGAGATATGGAATAAAACTACCTGTAAAATAATCAGTTACCTATAATTATCATAGAAAATCCAATCTAATCAATAGACTTTAATGTATATGGTAAAACAGTCTTTGAAAAGTGGAACTCACCTGATCATCAAAAGATTCGTTCATGATGAGTTGATTTTCTTAAAAATTGAATTAGTTCGTTGAATATTGAATAGTATAATGAATATTTTACAATATATTGAATAAATAATAGTCCAGTTTAGCAATATTTAAATGGTATTATATTCAGTATATGTATATACGTTTATGTTATAGACTGAGATATAATGCACAAAATGTGTATTTGTCTATTATACACTGTAATATCAATTATAGAGTAATAAATGTTCGTTCCTGCCAAGAAATATACCACAACACTTAATAATTTTTAATACTTCTGTAGTATGAGTCGTTTTTAATAATTTTCAAGATATTTCATACTCATAGATGAGTGCTCACAGAAGGTAAACATTTATATACGTACACATATATACACAATTACAAATATACACACATAAACTTTGAAACCAAGATAAATAGTGACACAACAAATAGAACTACATATTTTATAATAAAGTCAGATACACACACATTCAGCATTGTCAAGGTCGATGGTGTATCTGTTGCAAGCTCACTAACTGGCTATTTAAAAGACTGAGTTTTGTTTACTTGGTTTTTTTCTATTGTGATAACGGCACGTGAGCACACATAAATATGATTATAATTGTGTAGATATATAGTATTTTTAAATGAGACTTGTACTCAGACATGTTTACAATTGTGTTTCAAGAAAAACACTAACAATACACTTTGAGAGCACAGTAATGTTACCCTAAAGCAAAGTGTTTGTGTGTGCATCTAGAATTTGTAAACTCACAATTGATTGATTAATTGATTAATTGACTGACTCTGTACTTATGATTGTGTGTATTTATATATAAATTTGAATAAATCTTTATACTGTATAGTCAACCTCCACACAATGACCCTGTCTATAAAATATCTGGTCTGAGCATCCCGTCATTCGATAATAGATGTGTTTATCTTACAATAGTTATGCGAAACAGCAAACAATCTTTAACAATATATGGAAGAAAATTAATACATATTACGGAATTTTTTCGCCACATAAAAATAACGTAGATTGTACATACTTAACTTTAGAAACTTTTATAAAATATTTTCCTTTGGTAACTAATACTAGCTGTTTAATTAAGATAATCATTAACTTCAAAGAAAAAATACTTAATAAACTGCAATTCCATTCTCATACACACTAAATAATAATAAATAAGAATATTTTGTTTCTTTTTTCTAAGTACGGGTTTGTGGAGATTATTAAGCCTTTTATTGAAATCATGAACCGATTGATGTATGACCACCATTGAAAACCTGGAAGCACTGGACGGCCGTTTCGTCTTATTGTGGGACTCCTCAGCAGTGCGTACAGAGACTTAGATTTTCGCATCAATTTCATTTATTCATATCGGCTGAATAATAATTCAACATTATAGGTGATGTCAGTTTTTTATGTATAATATAACTACTAGTCCGAATTCTTAATGCTAATTTATAATCCGATTTTAACACCAGTAAGTAATTGAAATTTCTCAATACCATTTTAGTATAGCTCTAAGGTCATCCATAAATTATAGTCTCATCCAGTAAGATTCACAGAATAAAATCACTTCATTCTATTTCAATCTTTATTATTATTCACAAATATACTAAAGTTATGAATAGTAACGTGATTTAAGAATGCCGTTTGCACAAAAGTTAGGTAATGAAATTGAAATCGATGTACTAAACAGAATTTTATAAAAACAAAATTAAAAGAGCAGAAAACAAGAAACAAAATCTTATGCATAGTATTCGAAATCAATAAGTAACAGTATATTGAAAATCAGATTGGCCATTTCTCTGTATGATTGTATATTACTTCTCTAGGTGTAAGTGACATCTGGTTAGTACAACTAGTGAGTTACATCGTCGTTTTGCAAATAATGTTGATGTACCTTTAAATAAACAAAATGGACTAACATGAATTATTCAATGGATATTTGAAAATTTTACCGATAGTCACTGAACTCTGATGTAAACTACTAATTTACTTCTTAACGTCAGTTCTATTTAAAGATTCTTATAACTGACTAATATCAGTAGAAGAGTCAGTAAAAGGTAAGGAACGTTTCACATCAGATATGTTCTAATTTCAAATTTTCCAATAATACAAATTGACAGATTTGAAACTTATGTTGAATATTATGAATTTAGTTACTAATATTTACTACTAAAGTGTATCAAATTAGAAAATAATAGCTGTGATACTTATTCGTATTTTGTAACGAAATTAATTCTTAAAACTTGTTCAATCAACTAAATAAAATTTCATTTTTTGATTGATTTCATTATAATTTTTTTATTTTGTTCAATCAATAAAGTAAATAGTTCCAAGATTATTTTATTACTTTTCACAAATCACTTTTATTGATTTTACATTTACCAAAAACTGATTTACTGTAACATAATTGTTTCGTTTAAACAACGATACTACCAATTCAATTATAATGGAAATAAACATCATCCATATTTAGGTTTTGAAACGTTTCCATTATTTAATTATATTGTATTATTAAAATCATATTATATAGTACTAAGTACTCATAAACAAATGAATTAGTAAAGAAATTCACTTGATGTTGTTTTACTTGTATCTTCCCATTGTTATTTCAGACTGCAATTGATCAGTCTCATGTTGGCATATGTGCATCCTGTGCAGATCGCCTTAAGTCACAAGCTTTTTAAGCAAAGATGGATAGTGGTGGAGAAGATTTGTAGCTCAGGTGGATGATTTTGGATAGTGGCTAGCAGTGGAATCCAGGATGCGCGTTTCATCCTAGTTGGGATTCGTCAACTGGATGTACCTGCATCGCAGAGTTGATGTTTACCCCATTGCACAAGCAGGTGGTTATCAGGACTCAGTATCTAAGTGGATAACGCGATGGCGTTTGAAGTGAACGGTACTGGTTCCGAGTCTCGGAGTGAGCATCAGCTCTGGGATGCTGGTACATACAGCTGAGGAGTCCCAACTAGGTCGAAACGCGCACCCTGGACTCCACTGCTAGCCACGATCCTTCTTTGCTTAAAATGAATTGGTATATGATGAGTAAACGAATATTATTCCAGTGTTTTTGTTTTCAATATATACATATATGACTTATTTCATTAATTAAAGTATTGCATACAAAACTGACTGTGATTTTTTTTATTTTTGTACTTTGATATACTTTAATGATGAAATCAAATACCATTATGATCAGATATTTATGTTTGAAAGAAAAAGAAAATTCATCTTAACAATAAGTCATATGCTTAAATTATCTTCCTTATAAAATATATCATTTTCTGATTGATCAAGTGATTGATTTCAGCTGTAATTTGTGTCAGATTGTCATTTTGTTTTATTCTATTCTTATCTATTTATTCAGGCAAATTCTTAAATATAACTGTTTAGTGTTGTGAATATATATTGTCAAGGTGTCTATGGATCTATATCCACCAAGTGAGGAAAAGCTAGTCGTTATCCGATTCATTTCACATATAGTTAATGTTTTTACTTTTTTTACTTATGCCTGTTACTCCCAAAAGAGTATAGGCCGCCGACCAGTATCCTCCCACCCACTCTGTCCTAGGCCTTCTTTTCAAGTTCTATTCATTTTTTGTTCATTCTTCTCATATCTGTTTCCATTAATCGGAGTAGCGTGTCCTTTGGTTTTTCTCTTCTCCTTTAATCTTGGGGATTCCAAGTGAATTGTGACACAGTTGGATGTTTTCTTCAGTGTGTGTCCTATCCACTTCCAGCGCTTCTTCTTGATTTATTCCTCCGCTGAAATCTGGTGTGTTATCTCTCATTGCAGGTTGTTGCTTATAGCGTCTGGTCAACAGATCTGAAGTATTTTGCGCTTACTTACTTACATTCGCCTGTTACTCCTCGTAAAGTAACATAGGCCGCTCACCAGCATTCTCCATCCAACACTGTCCTGGGCAATCCTTTCCAGCTCCTTCTAGTTGTTATTCATCTTTTTCACATCTGCTTCTATTATCCGACGTAATGTGTTCTTTGGTCTTCCTCTTTTCCGCTTCCCTTCAGGATTTCAAGTTAGGGTTTACGTCATGATGCAGTTTGATGATTTGTGTATTGTATGTCCTATCCATTTCCATCTTTTCCTAATTTCCTCTTCATCTGGAAGCTGGTTTGTCCTCTCCCACAGAAGGTTTCTGCTGACCGTTTCCGGTCAATGGATGTTGAGTATCTTGTGTAGACAACTATTTATAAATACTTTTACCTTCTTGATGATGGTTGTTGTAGTTCTCCAAGTTTCAGCTCCGTACAGTAGAACTGTCTTGACGTTGGTATTGAAGATTCCCACTTTGATATTGGTTGAAAGTTATTTTGAGTTCCATATGCTCTTCAATTGTAGGAATGCGGCCCTTGCTTTGCCAACCCTCGCCTTTCCGTCTGCATCTGTATTTTGCACAGACGAATGTTACTAAACACTTGTATCTTCTGGATGATTGCCTTCGTAATTCTTTAAGTTTCCGCCCCACACAGTAGAAATGTCTTGACATTTGTATTGAAAATTCTGACTTTGGCATTGATCTAGTTAATGTATAAAAAACTTATTTGTTCAGTCTGTTTTCTATCTTAAGATTCTCATTTTTAACTGGATCAAAATAATAAACATTCTCTCGTTTAATTACGTTATATAAGCTTAAATTGTTTTACCATAAGTTTGTTCATTATTTTTTATTCGTCTTATAATCAGTCCTTGGGACTGTGTTTAACGTGTTTTTTTAGATTATACATGTTTGTATTTTAATAATAATTCATTTCTCTGTCTCTAAACTGCAAATCAATAGACAAAATTTTGCACGGCTATTATTATTAATATTAACGAGTATCATTACTTGCCTCATTTACATGTACTGTAGTTCTATCAGTAACAGAGGTTTAAACGTTTCGGAAAACTATTTTCCTATTAGATATACAAGGTCGCATGAAAAATCACTGTACATCCGTGTATTTGTTAGCTATATTCTTCTAATCAGAAAGGGGTTTTGTGGAT